TTCTGAAAGAAAGTTGCAGATGACATTGAAGGACGTTTGTGTGATGGGGGACAATCACATCCATTATGAGGATTGTTGTGATGCACTATCACATGGGCCAACTGCAGCTAAGGTTGGTTCAAGGCTGATTGCACAGAGAAGATAAAAGGCAGCTTCCATCTCTAGTCAAACAGGCCTTTGTCTTATGATTACCTGCATTTAAGTATTTATTACTGCATAAAGGCTAAAAAAATAATGGTTGAAAGAATGTACTTGTCAAGTTTTCTTCGTAGTCATGTGAAGGAAAGTAGATGGTTATACGTTATTTAGAAATTAGTTAAGTTACAAATTATATTGATTCAGAGATAGATGCACGTGTATGTGCACACATGCAATTTTCCTGGAAAATATCTCATTAAAGCTTGAAAGCGACAGTAAAAAAGCTATTTTTCATGCTATTATTTTTAACGTTGGTTCTGGCAAAATGAAATAACAGGCTGGCTAAAATTTATCTCACGAAAACAGTTGTATTCCAGTCTGTTTGGGGCTGTTTGCTTTTAAAAAACTGAGGCATAGAACTATGCTGAGATTACTTTTTATACTATTGCTTTTGAAGTTCATCCTGGATCAAGAACTGGTTTACTTTTGGTTTATCTCCATTTGGAACGAATTGTTGCAGCTTTGGAATGCTAATCTTTAAAACAACAAGAACAACAGAACTTTTTTATTTTTCTGTTTGAACAAAACTGAAATCTTCTATTCAATAGGTGGTTTTATTTGTTAGAAAGCATCCTGAGCGTCTCTGGATGGCATAGGCTGGCTTTTGGCTTTCAGCCATGAAGCTGATCGCTGCTCAGGGGCCGAAAAGAGGTTTGCTGTTGGGGGCTGCGGGAGTGATCGGCCTCAGCAGGTGCCTGATGGTGAAATGTCTCTCCTGCTGTGCCGCCTCCTCCATCTCCAAATGAGCTTCCTGGAGTACAGAGACATAGCACCAAGTAGGAGGACGTGGTTTTGGTTTGTCTGCTGGTTAACATAAAAAAAAAAAGTCCCATTTTTGTAGCTGTAATTCATGCTTGATTTGAAAAACTTGCCTCATACTGGAAATGCAGAATTAAAGCAGATCCATGAAGGATTTGAAGGAATATTTCTGGTGCTTAGAAGTTAGTTTGGTTCATAGGTAGCCAGTTTTATAATTTTAATGCTATACTCTTCTGTGAATACATCTTGTTGTGTTGATTCCTTTTGTTTGCAGGTGTATGTTTAAAAAAAGTATGTTTTTAAGGGTATGCTTTTTTCCTACTAGGAATTAAGCATTAGTGGGTTTTTTTACTTTTGTCCATCAGTTTACTAGTCTTTTGGTATTTAAGCATAGGTAATGCTGTACTTTACCAGTGACTGATGCCAAATAATTTTACTAAGCTAAGGTGAAATTTGTAGTTTAAGAACAAAATCATACCAGACAAAAAATGTGGTACAAAAGTGGTAATGAATACCACTTCAAAATTTCCTACATCTTAGCACCTACATCTTTTTATATTGTCTGCATCTGTTGGATGTTTCCAAATCTAGGTGAAAAAAAGGAAATAAGTGGAGTTAATTTCCATTGTGACAAGGAATATGGGAGCCTTTTTTCAGTTTTAATTGAGTATGTACACAGTTTTGCATACATAATCCCAATTATGTTTACAAATTTATTGTTTGTAATGGTAATTCACACTTACAAGTCTAAGAAATGTCAAAACTGAGGCTCCTGGGGTATAAATACGTCTGCAGTGTGGAAACGATCCTTAATTATTTCAACTCTTCTAATTCTTCCTGCTGTGTCCAGTGTAGATGTTTATTTTTATATAGCTGTTCCTGTGATTATATTCCTCTTGCATCTGTGGTAAAACTCTGCCCTCGTAGCTTCAGCTCCACTGTGCTGTAGGCACTTGACAAGCCAAGGATGCTGGACCGTACTCTCAGGAAAGACTCCTCCGGATGAGATTTCCTAGAAGTAGCAACCTCCCCTCTCTTGGTTAGTCAGGTTTCTTATCTGAAATCAGCAGGTTTTACATGTAAGTCCTATTCACTGTACCTAGATTACTGCTCTGGCATCCCTCTGCACATATAGTCCTTCACACTCTTGTCCAGTAATTTGTTCGTTCCGCTGTGCCTGTGACAGCCTCACTTGTGGGCATAGCCAGGGGCTTGTCACGCTTCTCAGGACCTGCCGGCTTTTTTTCCCCCATCTCCAGGGTGCATTTTCCAGACATATATATTTTCAGGTGTTTTCAGCCTGGGGTTTTGCTGAAATGATTTTTACAGCTGTCTCCCATGGGTAGTTGCATAGAGTTTCATCCCCAGGATGCAGCAGTTTAAGAGTGACCTTGGGAAAGTCTGGTGATTAGTTGTGAGTTGGTGTGTGTTGGCCACTGGAATCAAACCAAAAAGTGAAATTTTTGTAAAATTAATTTATTTTATACTTTTTTTGGTTGGTAAGGCCACCCACCCTGAATAGTCACCCTGAAGCCTTCTTTTGAAGTCTTAACAGTGAATATGTGTAGGTTGCTTTTTTCTATCACGAATTACAATGCGTGAACGTCATGCGCTTGCATACGTTCAGAGAAAGATAGATTTTATTCACTTTGTCAGTCCAATCACAAAGCACAGCGATCCGTTTGACCTTTAGCTTTTAGCACCCTCACATTCCTTTCCCTTTTCCAGACCTTGCTGACAAATGTCAGCATGCCATCACTGTCAGTTTAGGGATCTGTTTATGGCAGGTTTTACCCCTCACCCAAAGGTTTGAGGAGCTTCCCTATAAATAGCTGTGCTGGTCACAACCCTTTCTGTAGGGTTCCCTGATCTGTGTTTTAGAGTAACCGGGTCTCTTAGCTCACAATTTGGGTATGAACACCAAATTTTGGAGCAATTTTGGCTTTGTTGTTGAAGGCTTTTGTAAAAGGATGCACTGTACAAATTGTAATTCTGATGAATTTAGCAAGTCAAGGAATTTTTTTCTGAAATTGGTGCATCTTCTTTTTCTTTTGTCTTCTACTTTTCTTCCTTGCATGGAACTTGCTCTGGTAGCTTTCCCTTGTTAGCACCCTTTGGTTTCAACTCTGAGTAAAATTGCTCTGACCTGTAATGCTGAAGGACCAGCTGTTATATTGAACCTGAGAGATGACAAGTCTTCCTACATCTCAGGCCTCCCCTTTCACCAGAATAATGTATTTGATAGCACAGGATTAACACCAAATGGAAGGATTTTTCTGGTTTTGTTTGGATTTTTGGCTATTGTTTTTCATTGCTGAAGATTGCTACTGCAGATGTTTGTGGCGCACAGATTGATGTTGAAAGATACCAGCCGTGATCCACGGAATGTGACATTTCCTGCTTTCAGTCTCAATGTTGTCAAATTGTACATTTCGGGAGTATTGCATTTGCATTTGTCTCGCAGCATTAGGCAATACTTTTTTTCTCTGTTCAAATATTTGTCTTCAGATGCTGTCCTATACGTATGTCACAGCTGTCATGTATTTTAGTCTCTGAGATTTTAGGAAAACCTTAACCATATCAGGTGGGCTGATGGGACACTTTCCACAGGTTTACCGGCAAGGGTCTGTTCATACACAAGTGCAAGGACTGCGTCCCTGGTATTTTACGAATTTCTACCCCTTTGCCATAGACAGTTTCCAAGACCTAGCCTCACTTCTGTTGGAGAATTGAATGGTGTGGAGGCTAGTGACTGTACTTTGTGGTCATTTTCAAAAGGAACCACAAGGTGACAAAACTTTTTGGTCCCTACTGAATGAACTAAAAGAGAGGCAGATAAAAAACAACAGAGATTAAAGCCTTCCTAGAGCATGACTGTGGCCCAAGGTGAACTCCACTTTTGGAAATGAAGATGAAGTCATTCTGCTGTTTGCAACAGCTCCCTAACATGTAGTACTTTCTGCAAGGAACAGACTCAATCTTGCAGGCAAAGGAAAGAGTTGGGAGGTTTTCCATGCACAGCGCAAGCAGCTACAACTTCTCTGCTTTAGGACACGAAATACATCTGGAACAGAGAGGGAATTTGCACTGTCCAGGACTACTCTCTACACCTGATTAGCAGATTGAGGACCAGGGATAGAAATCAGTGCGTAGAACTTACTGTGTGTTGTTTTATTTCTGTTTCAGTTGTTAGGAATGAAGCTAGTTGAAATCCAGTGGCATCAGATGAAAAGGTTAATTTATTGTTCAATCGAGGTCAAGAATGTGAACTTTACAAGGGTTTCTGTTGCAAGACTAGTTCATTCAATTGGACCAAAGGCAATGGAGCTGAACTTTGGCAGTGACCTTGATCAAAGAGGCAAACTGCTTAAGAGGCCTTTCTTATTCTGGTCTGAATGTACTGCAGGTCGCTGGGGGCTATAAACCTACCGAGAGAAAGGCCAAACAAAGTCCTGTAACCAGCCTGTCTGTGATGTTGAACTTTTGACTTGCTAGTAGTTACAGCTGGGGAAAAAAGACAGTTTCAGTATTAATGAAGTCTTCCATGCACATGACCGGTCATTGACAAATATATAAACTTTGAAGAGATTGTTTAGATGGAAAATCTACAGTGGAAAAAACTAGTTTACAGCCTTCCTCTTTCCTCTTGTGAGAGAAATTTCATGTATAAAGAGATAAGAGGCTGGAACTTGGCATCCAGGAAACTGTGTGTACCTATCCCTGCTTGTGTCTCTTGGTGCGTGTGCACAGCTTCCAGCCAGTAAAGAAGTGGAGTTTGATTTGGAAAAATAGGCAATACTGTGCAATGTATTTCCTGTCATTCAAGTGAAATAAGAACAAGAATCTATACATATTGCTTCACCGGAAAGAAAGATAGTACAGCAACTTTCACAGGGACATGCTCACAAAGGAGAAAAGATAACTTTTTTTTTCTTTTTCTTTCTATGAAACAGCGCTGTGAGTAAGGTACTGTGGTCCTGTGTTCAGAGACTATAAACATAAACCGTCCAAGTTTCTCATTTACCCTTCTTGTGATATTTCAGCTTAATGACGGTGGCAAGGCAGCCCGCGCACACGTGGGGATAGGCGATGTGGTTCTTACCATTGATGGGATAAGTACGGACGGGATGACTCATCTAGAAGCACAAAACAAGATCAAGGCGTGTACAGGCAATTTGAACATGACTCTGCAAAGGTAAGATACCTTTTTCTTACTTTAAAGAAAGAATTAATCACCATCGTAACAGTTGTTTGGAGGATAAAAACATGTAAGTGGTTTGGCAAAGGGCATGGAGTTAAGTGGCCACGATTGAAAGGTATGCTGCTGTAGCCTGAAATGTGTGTTGATTGTATAGCATTTTAGAAAATTTATTAGATGTTAATTGCGCAAGTCAACAGAGACCTTTTCCAACCTTCTGTCACCTGTTCTACATGGAATGAAATCTAGTTCCTCTTCCTTTTGAGCTCCCATTTTGTTAACACTTGTTTAACTAAAAACAAGTCTTACCCAGGCTCTTTTTCCCTTCCCCTCTCCTGATTGACTAGGGGCATTTCTTGTTTGGGTCAAGTCCTACATTGTAATTTTTATTGGCAAACGGAATGATGGATTTATTGAAGTAGTTATATGGATGAAAACACTGCATGTTTCCTGAACCAATACTACTGTTTCACAAAGTAGCAGCCCCCTTTCGCTAACTGCAGTGTCAACTATAGAAGTTCCAGCTTGGTCCAGTCTCCCCATTCCTGAAACGTTCAGTTTATTAGGTTTCAGCATGCTGCTGTTAGCCCAGGACTATGTTTTGAGAGGGGTTGGAAGGAGGGAGCAGGATGCTTGTGTGCAGGTTATTGGAACTGAAGCAGGAAGAGCAGCAGCACAAGCAAGAAATTTCTTGAGCTCTCAAAAGTCTCACGGGGCTAAATACTGGCTTTTATTAGAATACTGATATATTTATTTAATAATGTGAGAGAGCATTGTGGAGGAGGATTGGCCTCTGAAGCCATCACATAATGAGAACCATCTTTTCTTGTTATCAAAGAAAACGATACCCTGTGATTGCTCTTCGTGCCCACCTTCAGCAATGCAAAGTCCCTTGATGAGTGGTGGTTGAGGACCATAAGAGTATGTCTTTACCAGTTACTACCTTTCCTGGAAAATTATCTGGCCTTTAATGAAAGGACCACCTCTCTCTGAGACTTCATTGGTATAAGAATAAAAGAGAGGACATGGCTCTGGGTTTGACAAACTTCCAGCTCTCCAGGGCAGTGGTGCTCGTTCCCAGTCCTATGCGATATGTAGTTGAATGGTTGTGTGAGTGCTTTCCTTCCTAACTGGCTACAATTCAGCGCTGCCTGTTGGTTCTTGTTTTTCCTCTTGTCCTGCTGTACTTTGGTCCTTAGCTACCCTCAATAAGGGATTCCCTTCTCTGAGGAAAGGAGTATCTTGTGGCATGGTTCATGCCTAGGGCATCTTCTTGAGTGAAACTTGTAAAGTTGCTATTAAAAGTTGTTTGGTGAAACAGAGGCATTATACGAGCTCACCAGAAGAATCGTGCATTGTGTATCTAGTGTGTCACTTGCTTTTCTGTCTCCCAATGAGCCAGGCAGGTCGTTTAGAAGTGCACTTTCCAGGAGTCCACTGAGTCACCCCAGCAGGCAGCTGGGACTGTAGGGTTCTTGGCTCGCTTTCTCCCATTGCCATAAACTCATGGGCAGGGTTAATATCAGGTAGAGGAAAGGAATAGCAGGTGTGTCTTGGTCAGGCAATAACTTGTCTGAGCCTGCTTCTGGTTGGGTGCAGGGATGAGTGGTTTGAAAATCAAATTAATCACAAGTTAGCCCAGTCCCCTCCTGTTCTCACCCTTCCTACCCAGCGTAGCGTCTGACTCACCAGCGTCGGCTACCTGACAGCTGAAGGCTAAGTCAGGATCAGCCTAGCAGAGATCAAAGGAACAGCCTCAGTCCCAGCATCTGGGGGTGGGACAGATGGCCTGTCTTGCAGCTCTACTGGACTGCAGTCCCAGGGTCTCAGCTGTTTCTAGTTCTGCCTGGATCCCATGAAACCAAAACCAAACACAGTGCTCTCCCAGCTCATCTGCGTGTGAAAACTTCCTTGCTCTGATTGCTGTTTAGCAGATTTGTTTCAGTTGTTTATTTGTTCTTTATAGCCTGGAAGAAAGTGATTCTTGGAGTCGGACTGGCTCACGCTAACTGCAGATGCTGAATGCCCATGGGAAGGACAGCTTGCGAGTGTCAACAGGGTGGCGAGATAACCCATGTCAGTATTGAGGGATCTCCATAATTATATTCTGCTATTCCTGCTTCTTCTCCCAAAACAAAACCAAACTAAATAAAATATTTTGAGCTCTTCTTGTTCACATGCAAGATTAAAGAGATGCTGTCAATGCGAAACAGTGTTGGCTTTCAAATTACAAGTTGGTGCAGACAGAACCACAGAATGGTTTGGGTTGGAAGGGGCCTTAAAGATCATCGAGTTCCACCCCCCTGCCTTGGGCAGGAACACCTCCCACTAGACCAGGTTGCTCAAAGCCTCATCCAGCCTGGCCTTGAACACCTCCAGGGATGGGGCATCTACCACCTTGCTGGGCAACCTGGGCCACTGCCTCACCACCTTCAGCATAAAACATTTCTTCCTTTTAAGATAAAAGGAAAAAGGAAAGGAAGACAGATATATCTAATTGTGATTTTATTGCTTTTCATTATCTTTAGGGGTTTTTACAGTTCCCTGAGCTTTTATGTGCCCTAGTGTGCCGCTGCTTTAAAGGGGCACAGTGATCGGTTGGTTTGTGGTATTAACTGGAGGTCTAAGAAAACTGGAAGAGCATTATGGCTTGAGCTAATGGCTTTTGCACTGTGAGCATGTCCCTGTGGTGTTTTATGAAAGATGTGAAAGAACACAGTTTGATCAAATTAGCCATAGGAAGTAGAATATATTTAGTACGTTCAGTTTGGTATGTTTTTGATGGTAGCACCAAGTGACCTTTATTAATGATAAATTTAAAGAAGTACTGTGCAGTCATCTATGGATGCCTGCGTTACTCTTGGCCAGTTATAATTCATATGCAATATGTGAAAATTAATATAGTGGTGCACACTTAAGCCTGGTGTGAAGATAATGGCAATATGTGGAAAAATGGCCAGGTATACCACCAGCTTCATGGTGTGTCAGAGATGGGGCTGGCTGTGCTGTTTGCTGGGGTAGGACTAACCAAAAATTCAGTAGTTATTTGAAAAAGAAGCAGGGTCTTGCTCTGGCTTTTTAGCGGTTTTGTATGTGTGTGTTGTGAGGATAGTTGGCAGAAAAGCAGTGGTACACCCTAGGAATTACCGGGCCAGTGAACCCAAGTGGGTGCCATCTGAGGTTGATGGGCTCCAGCATCCTACTTGGCATGGTGGCTGGGGCGTGGTGACAGCCTGCCTTTTAAATGGTGTGAAGGAAACTTCATGAGTCTACGTGGCAAAGGCGAGAGAGGAAATTATGATCAGCTGCTTCTTATAAATATTTTTAACTTGATAGAACTTTATACTGTTGGTCAGGTTTTCACTTGACTTCCTCTGTTCTTTATGTGCCAAGTGGAAAAAATAAAATTGAGAGAAACAAAATAAAGGGCAAGAAGTAGCTTGAGTGGAAGGTTGGAGTGGATATTTAAAGCAATGCCTTCAGAAGCTTTACTTACAGGTTTAAAGCACTCTATTTGTGGAGGCAGATGTGCACCTACCTCTTACGGAAAACCAATTAGGTGTTTTGTGACTTGTAAATGAATGTTGGCAATATATTTCAAGGCAGAACAAAAGCTCACTTTTTTCCTGTGTAACACAATATCACACGCTGGTTTTTTAAATATGGAATTGTTCTCTGCCTCTGGAAGGAACCAGAATTACAGCTGTCACAATTGCAAGTCCACTTTGCTCAGAGTTGCTTAAGTACAAATAGATAGAACTGTGCTTGCCAGCCACGTACAGTAGTAGATGCCTAATGTTTGCATGTGTTCTCAAGTATTTTCAGGTATATGTCTTTAGAATTAATTTGTTCTGTAAACAAGTCTCTCTGCTTATTGTGAAGGTTATAATTTTTAAATTGTGTAATAAAAATATAATTTTAGTGTATTTGCTCATTTTTCATATTAGATAGGGCTTGGAAATCTGGGGTGTGTTTTTTCTTCTTTTTGTAACATGCAATTTTAGGTTCTTGATAGTTTGTTGGGTTTTTAAACCTTAAATGATTTGCCTAAGGAATTTTTCTTTGCATGGGTCTCTCCCTCCCTGAGATCCTGCTCTTTTGCACCCCAGTATTTTATTTTTGGAGTTCAAGCCCTTTTCTGGTTCCCATGAGGAGAGATGGAAACCAGATGCTTGCATTTTGGATATATTTTCAAGTTTAGTAACTTAGCATGGACTCCCATAAATAAATCTGTAAGTTGCTGAACAGCTAAGAGCCACCACCTATTTTTAAAATATTGGTTTTGGGGACTGCTTGTCCAGACTCCTGCCTTAATGATTCTTTGGAAGTGAGAAAGATAAAAACTTGTGTATTAAGTCCATTACATGAGATCATGATACTCATGAAACTTGGAAAAAGTGTCAGTGAGCAATATAGGGGTAAAAAAAAAAAATACAGAAAAGTTCAGAAAGTTTTTTTGCTTTTATAATATAGAAATTATTTACCTCTTTATATGTAGAACAGACTTGCACAGCTATAGTGTGCTTTGTAAAGGAATTTCCTTCACCTCTCCCTATGAATTTATCCATTTAGGACAAAAAGCATTGAGATAGCTCAGCTTGGGAAGTGAAAGGAGGATTCTTAAGGTTGTTTACCTCTCTTGCTATTTTGCAGTGCTTCAGAAATCTTTTTGGGTCAGCAGTGAGCAGTTCCTACAGTTCTACTTCCTGGTCTTCAGTGGATGACTCAGTGGATCTTTGCAAATGAACGTGGGTGTTACAAAGCAGTAGATGAATTTCAGTGATGGCTATGGGGTTTGGGTTTTTTCCCCTAAACTTTTTAAAAGCACAGGGTTGCCCAAGTGTCACAGGTGAAGCTGAGGTCTGTCTGGTATTTTTGATGTCTGTGTTGACAGGACTTGGAGCCAAAATTCAGATGAGCCTTAAACCTGTGTTCTGCAGTGGATAAATTCAAGTGTTGAAAACCGTGATGCTTATTTTATCTGCCCGAGTATGAAT